TTAAAGTTGAATCTTGATTTATGATTTACATAAACTTTTGAAATTATTGGGTAAACTAAGAACGCAATTATCCAATAATCTAGTCGAGTTCTTTTGGCCTTGATTTGAAAAATATGCATCTTGAATAATGACGATTATTCAAGGCACGGATTAGGCTTGTGTCCGTGGAGTTCTCAAATTCACGCCCTTACAACCGCGTGATACACCTATGGTTTAGTTAGCAAGAGCCAACAATAAAATTCAAAAAAGGGTTAAAAACTCTACTCGTCCCTAAATTTACAGGCACACTGAATTTTGAAAATTTTCCTATTTACCCAACTTTACAATGTTCATCATGTTGTTCACTGAATTCCTTGAATCCAAACAAACGATGTTGATTTGACTCGCAGAATGCTTATGTGGCATCCCACGAGCATTCACTGATCCATTTAGTAGTGTATTTTATGAGAATAATTTATCTACCATCAATGGTGGTAGAGCACACTAGTCTAGATGAGCACATTTGATAGATTCAATTAAATGAATCATGTGACATTACATTTAAATAAATCTATCATTTAATATAATATAATTGTCACCTACACTGGTGCTTGACACCGATAGTGATGAATAGCATTCCTCATTTTATGAAAGCAAAATTGTTTTGAGTTAAATATTATATATTTTGTGTTGTTTGGTCATGAATATTATAAACTTACAGCTGATTACAGGTTGAATAAAAGGAGCCAATTGCAATTTTTTCAAACAATTAACTTCGAAGGAGCCATAATTATTGCTGTCTTTATTACCTGTCGTAAAAAACGCCTCAAATGCCAAGAATTCCTTTGTTATTATCATGTAAAAGGTGGTCTCCTATATTGTGACGTAATGGAATTTGACAAACCGTAAGATTCACAAATTTGCCATTGCCTAATTTTTCTTTTAAAGAATAAAAGAGGAAAAATCCCTCGGCATAAAGTTGATGTTCATGATAAAGATGCTCATAATCTTACTCCATATT